CTGAATGGTCTTTCATGCTTACGCAGCGACCAGGCTTCCGACGCATGGGTTATCAGAAAAAATCGAGCAGTCGAAAATGTGTGCACGGATTCGGGGTGGGGCGGTGGCGGGGTGATCTTTGTTTTCCTCACTACATCCTCGGTGCTCTTGGAACCGCTCCAAACCGTGCCATTCCTTCTGCTCATGGAGCTAACTCGCCCATCATATCGAGTTTCATCATCATGCACTTTATTATTTCAAAAAAATTCTATCAGAATCTGAACATTTCTTATACCAAAGTGGAAATTTAGTTTTTTTTACTTCAGAATTTTCTTCTAGCTCTCTTTCAGTTAATGCTCTTACTTTGACAAAAGTTACTATTACAGTGAGATTTTGTAGAACAAAGCATGCTTTCTCAGTACTGACACCTGCTATGCTAGTAATAATTTCTCTTTTCCTTGAATTAACGACACCTCATTTGTATTGTCAATTTGAAGCAAATTTAACACTCTAGAGAAATTATGTGTACTTAGAGCAATATGTGTTATCTTCTCTTCAACAAGCATATCTAGTCACTACGTCCTCACCTCTCCAAATAGTCTGCTTTATCGAAAGCTATCGACAGTTATAGAAAAACTGATAATTTTACCAGTTGGTTAGAACAACCGTTACAATTTTCAGTTCTGTGCTGAAAAATATACATATAAGATGAGGGTTTAATTCGTTTATCGAGAAATCTAACGGACGCGGATACTAGTTGGGGCGCGCGTGGCGCAGTGGTCGCAGGCGCACTGTGACACACAAATAGAATGGATCCCCGCGCCCATGGCTCACCAAGTCTTCAATCACTCCGGGATCGGCAAATTGCTGCCGGACTTGTTTGGGAGGATAGCAGTGCTGGCTCGATATACCGGCGGGCCACCGCGAGGCCAGGTATGCATTCAATTACCTCCAACGATGCCTAATGAAGTCGAGTGCATGGCGCATTTTCCAGGGATTGACCACCGAGAGCTTTACCCTTTTTTATTTATCGAGAAGTGTACTCAAATGAAGAAAATACTACCAGGCAATGTTGCTCACAATATGGAGAGTACCATCGTCATGACCTACTAGAGAAAATTTCCTTTATTTAATGGTTTTGTGAATTAACCTTAATGATCCTTTACTAAGGAGCTTCCCAAGAAAATCAAAGATTGTGGCGTATGCATTGTAACCAATGCGTATCACTACGAATGCGTCAGCGATAATGGGATGCGTGATTTTTGTGGCCACACAATAATAAATCCCTGCGCAAAGATCTTCCGCTACATTGTGGTTTTCCTAGTTACATGCAACTTGTGGAATATTCTGCATTGTCGACATGATGTTGCAGTTTCCAACAAGAAGAGTTCCTATTCATGTGAACACCTCTTTAAACGACGTATTTACAGCACTCCTTCATCCAGAAAGCAGACAATACTGACTTATCAAATATCAGACAGCGCAGGTTATTCAAAACCTTATCACCTAAGCACACGCTAGGGTGAAAAACAATAATGTGATGATTCAGTATTTCTGGAGACGTGTGACTCATTCCAGAGTCTATGTAATCATTGATAACATCACACTGATGAGCTGTCGGTGAGCGATGAACACTTAAAATGACCTAAGCACATTCCATGACGAAGAAACAATGAAGGAGCTGAATTTGCCAGTAACAATCACAGTGACCGTATAGTTCTAAACACAACAGTAACACAAGTCGTTTGAGATTATGAAAACGCTCCACCGTAACCTGTTGTTATTCGTCATGTCTCTGAGAAACAAACCTTTAAATGCTACAAAACCGGTCTTGTAATATATATATATACATTTATATACACATGTACATACATACATATATACATATATGTATACATGTATATACATAGATAAATATACATACATATACATATATATGTATATATATATACATATATGTTTATATTGTTAAGCTTATATGAGGTTGATAACAATGTTTATTCGGCTAACGTTTCGAGAGTTTCGTCTTCATCAGAGCTGATGAACCGTGTCAATGGTCCACAGCTGTTCGTGTTCTCGAGGTAGCGTCTTCTTCGCGCATCGAACCGGGTCTTCCTCAGTGGAGCATCTCTCTCGAATGAGCCATACTCATCCGTCAATGCTGTTTTATACAGGGCGACTATTGTTGATATTGTTATCCATTGGTAATGGTTTGGTTTTCAACAGATAATCCACCCTACAGCAGTCGGTATTATGTTAGCTAGCACATAGCGAATAGCGAAACAGTAACTTTGAAACCGACCGTCATTTAACCTTCGTAGTAAAATATTCAACATGTGTTTATATTCTTCGAGTTTGGAGAGATGCTCCACTGAGGCAGATCGACTCGATGCGCGACGAAGACGCCACCTCAACAACACGAACAACTATAGACCAACGACTCGGATCATCGGCTCTGATGAAGATGCCGTCGAGACAGCCGAATAAACATCTTTATCAACCTCGTGTAAGCTCAACAATATAAACACATGTTGACTATTTTACTACAGAGGTTAAATGACGGCCGGTTTCAAAATTATATACATATATGTTTACATGTGTTTAACTGGATGGTACTTTTGATATCACATGTTAGCTCTTATCACCGTCCAATTAGCAGATATCATGTAGAATAGCAGTTCATTTCTATAACTGATGATGAAAAACCGCCCTATTCACGTGCTTTTGATTCATTTACAGCCAAGGACATATGGAAAGGGAAGGAAATTAATCATTGATGGTTAAAATGAAGTGAGGATAACGATATGCGGATATAATGGATGACTTGGCGGCGAAAACGCTCAAGACTAAAACAAAATGAAGAACTACACAAATCGACGGTGGGTCGAAGAATGTTACTGCATAAGTAACACGTTAACAGGAAGAATAATCGCACATAGGACTGATCGTGACAGTGGTACTTGTCTAGTGAGCCGTTATTGCGATTACACGACAGAGCATTCCGCGTCAAACGCTCCTTGAGGATTACGCGATGCATTCCACTCCATTCTGTATCATTGTAGAGATGATTGAATCCACATCTGGCCTACACAGTGACTTGCAATCTCTACCGATGCATTAGATTAGTGTTCCCATTGTTCTAGACAAGTCTGGTACAAAATTGAGGACCCCGAGAAGATGAGTGCCATCGGTGAGGTATCAAACCAGGAGTTCGAAGTACGCTGCACGGCACCCCGAACCACTGAGTTGTACACACTCAATATCAAAATTATAATAAATATTTCATCGCCTACACCGTATTTATTCCTTACCATCTAGCGTTTTTATCTCTTCCAGAAAATAGTTTTCCTCTCATGATCTTATTGCATTGATATGAAATTACATACAGGCTTTAGAAAGGAATCATAAAATTTACTTCAAGCGTTAACTTTTTTATGTACTATACCTTACACCGTTCTGTACAATAGCACGAGCGACCACTTTGTCTCACTTTCATCGATTTAAAGAAAGCTTTTGACTCAGTTGAGATAGACGCATTCATGGAAGCCCAGGGCAACCAGCGAGTCCCTACTCAGTAAGATTATTCGTGAGCTATGTTAAAATTTCGAAACCAGAATACCACTATTCCACAACGATATTAACATCGACGTAAAAAGGCAGGTTAGCGAAGGCGATACCATCTTGCCAAAATTATTTTGTGTCAACATCCAGGACGTCATGAGAATATCGGAATGGGATAACATGGGAGCGGAAATCGATGATCAACTAAACCACTTTCGCTTTCTTGATGAAGTCGTTCTTATAACACCAAGCATTGGCAAGGCGAAACGAATGCTTTCCGACTTTGATAACGCCTGTGGAAAGATAATTCTTCGTCCAAATCCCACAGAAACGGTGTTCATGAGGAACGGATTGGTTACATATGCGCCACTCATGCTCTCAACGGTATGAATACCTCCGAATACTCCAGTTATGCCAGGACGATGCTAGGAGTATCTCGTATCACGCAAGTGAGAGACTGGACCTGAATCTCCGATCTACGTCAACGATCAAAAATCAAATCCACCATTCTACGACTAATAAACTATCTAAATATGTTGGGTAAGCTGTAGATGACGCTCAGCGACAAAATAAACAGTCAGAGCGCGCATTGAAATCAATGCTTAAAGTCACATGTGTCGGGGTGCAATGAGAATCTCTCCGTCACCACCGCTGAAACCTGAGATCAAACTGTAAAAACTTCATAAGATCGAAAAAAAGGTGAAAGAACACGATACGGAGTAGCATGTCTGCTGTACTGTCATTGCGTTTATCAGTAGTGTCGGTCCGTCGGACAGAGATGGACGATTTACAGCGAGTTATTTGCATATGACCGAATTCGCCGAGACTGAGGAAATAATGAGATGTCCTCTGAATGGGATTTGATTAGGGACTAATGAAAACGTAGGAAGAAACGATTCACAAGCAAAATCCAAGTGTTTTTTTTAAATCAAACCCTGAAATCTTTTACCACACACTTCCAATTAACTTTTGCTTGAATCGAAATTGCAAATACTTGAAAACAACTTGAAACACAGTAGCCGAATAAGAAATACTGAAATCATTTCATATGAGAGCACCAGAACATGAACGATGAGTATTCTGAACATTCTGAACGAAACCATCGAGCTAATTGTTGATTGGATTGCACAGTACGATGAAAATTCGGGTCTTCAACACATGATATTCGAGATAATCTGTTCAATGCATATGCGGTAGGGTGTGGAATAGATGAAGTGCATTGCATCCAATGCATTTCCTTCCCAGTCGTCTATTTCGCCACACAGTGCTTACTTGCCGCAGTTTTGTATCAACTCGATAATGCAACACATTTTTTTTAACACGATAAACAAATTTCGCCAACTTATTGCCAGATGATAAAACTGTGAGAATTGACAAAGTCGAAGTGAAGGCCAAAAGTGATGATCATCAATTCCTGATGATCTACATCAGGACAAACGACCATTCACATCTCTGGCAACTCACATAAGGTTGATAATACGTGTATCCAAGAATCCATTGATTCTCACAAATCCAGAAAACTAGAAAATCGAGAAAAATATCAACTGTTTGCACTTTTGGGGGACATGAAAGAAGTCGAACAGTCAGTATTTCTTAGATTTAATAATAAGCGAACATGAGCTTGCTTCACGAAAGTGGAATAGTGTTTGTCTCAAAGCACAGTATTGACTCTGAAAGACTGAGGATATAACTCGTATGAAGTGCTGAGATATTTGCAAAACTCCGGACCACAGGTGTATGCAGTGGCGAACGAACACGCGCTGTTGTCCTTACCTGGGAGCAGCACACTTCACCACTACACCATCTGGGTCCACCCGGTCTCAGCACTTCATACGAGTTATATTTCACAACATACCCTGCCATTAAGAAGAAAAAGGCAGTAAATAAAAGAGTTAACAGACTGAGGATATACCAAAGTTTTTTTTGTTCAAAAAAAATAATACAATAATGTTGAGTGATGGGGAAAATATAGCCTGAGCAGTGCTAAAAGATGTCCTGCAATACACATTGGGCCAGTCACGGGTTCGATCTAGCGCGCAGGGTAAACGAAGCCTTCCATCATTCATGGGTTGGCAAATTGGCACAGATTTATCCGATAGAGTAAAAGAAATACCGATATGAGAGATCGGTAGGCCATCGCAAGTTACTGTATGGGACAGATATGAATGAAATCACCTCTACGATGCTACGTATGGACACGAATGCTAGGGGCATCCCTAAATTATTGATCAGAGTTGGTCGATCTATCCTTTATCAACTGGGTGTTACAAGTATTGTTAACATTCGAAGGAAAAATCGTTTAAGTGGGAGATAGATAAAGGGTAGATTCAATTACAACGAGGATTCAACGTCAGAACTCAGTCATTATTCGCCGTCCAATGCCGATGTTAGTTCCTGATGCGATTTAGGAAGTGACTACAACCACTTATCCTTAGTGGCTGCTATGCAACTACGGCTATTCACTATTCACTAGAACGCGAAGTTCCTTCTCGTCTTTTGACTGACTTGTTCTTGAAATTCTTCTGACTTTTACATCCCAAGATGCCTGTTTGAAGAGTAAATGACAGAATAAAGCACAAAGGCGTTAAATGAGTTGTTTTTTCCACTGAAAAACTTTTATTCAGACAAGATTTCGACGTCTTCGTCTTCTTCAGAGCTAATGATGCACTGAGGAAGATTCGACTTGATTCGACAATGAAGAACCACAACGCGAGGACAAACGACTGTAGACCATCGATGCGGATAAATGATTTGTTGCTATCACATACATAGTACATAGAAATTTAAAAAGATTCGCTATTTTCTTCGCTACGAAAGCCGATCGCTAACGTATCTAGAGAACTAGGAAGGTAAGCTGGAAGGGAGCAAAATGAAATAGAGAAAAATGTGATGAAACTCCCGACGGTTTACCGCCTCATCGTGGCTGGGAGGTGTTCCTGGGTGTCGGACTGCGATGCACAGCGGGGGGATTCATCCCCTGGCAGGATCTCCCAAGATGAGAAGGAGTCCGGCGTTTTCATCGGGAAGTCTAGCTAAGAATAAACTAATACCAGGATTCACCACCATCCTGGTATCAAAGTCAAATGATGGCAAATCTCTCTCTGATCCACAAGGACTGCGACTGCCTGCGGTGGTGAAGAACTAAGGCAGACTTTGACCAGGTTGACCTCGGGATTCCAGAAAACCACAATGGCTTAACCAGAAAATCTCTGAAAAATGGAGATTATGCCGGGGCCGGCACAACCAGTGAGAACGGGCCGTTCAAGTATCAAGTGTCAAATGATGAAACTGAGTCACAGAATATCAAGAAGAAACGAATGCATGGAATGACCTTCCACTACTATAACAAGCTCCCTTTCTTTAGAAATAAGGAGAAAGTAACGAGTTTCATGAAAGAGGAAATATACATTATCGTGCATACATGTGGGTATAAATAGGATGTAGGGTGAATTGCAAAAGAATAAAAGAAGATGCACAAAATAAACTGCAGAATCACTCTAGACTGTCGCAAAAGCTCTCACATAAGAATGTTGTAGGAGAAAATACGTCCGGTGTCTTTTCGCCGAAAATGTGAATAGTGTAAGAAATGTGAGCGCAGACCTGTTATGGAATACGACACATAATCACTTGAGAGGAAATTTACATCATAACATCTAATATTAGGCGAAACGCTCCGTGTTAAAAAAAGATCCGAAACTGCTATCTTACAAAGAAGTTGCTCAAAAAACCCATGCTCTCAACATGGCCTACATCCATATCCTCTTAGCGATCGCGGCGTGAGTGGAATCAGTGTCAGTACGGACTTTCAAGCGAATTGAATAACATGGTACTTTTGCCCAAGATGCTCGAAAAAAATTCTTTTCATCGAATTGGTGTTTTGGGTGTTGAAGGACTAAGATCTCATGAAACTCACTGAATAATGATTAGTTCCGGAAGTGTTCTTGAGAAGCAGCACAGGACCAGCGAAGCTTTTCTTGAAGTGTTTGTGAATTCGGAAGCACTCTTTCGCTACGTACGGTAATATAAATCAAAAATTTGGACTGTTCCTATCAGTTGCATGATTTGGAAAACTCCTATCATCCATCACCGTCTCAATAGTGCGCTCGATAACGCTGTGCGCGCTATCGCTTGCTTGACGTTGCATCCAGGTTTGGGAAGCGTATATCCAGAACGGACGAAACAATTGAATCTAAGAGATGAGCTCAAATGTTGTCCTCCGTTTTTCCAACTATAAACTATATATTTACACTCACAACAAACCTTGCCGTGAAAAACTATGGTACGCAGCAAATAAAAGGTTAACATTGTGATTTTGACTACAATGTCAGCTTGACTGGATTCACGGACGATTTATGCTCTCCAAATGAATCCCATTGACCGTTGCGTAATTAATGATGGCACCATTAGATAGAAAACTAGTTGAGAGAAAGCAAAGCAAGGGCCTTAGTGGTCCAATGTGTAATGTGCAAGTCCCCGGAAAAGATAATTGTGGTTGGATCTGGCCTGAGTTCCACTAAGCCGCTATGTTAGGTTCCCGACTATGCATAGCTGGAATGCTCGTGGATACATTCCTGAATTAGTGAGCTATCACGAGATTGGTATAGCCAATGAAAGTTCTTCATTCGATCAGTGCTCCATTACATTGGATTCCAATTGGCGCAACCACATCGTGAGAGCGACCATCTGTGGATCACCGATTTCGATTAATTCTGCTCTGAAGAAGGCAAAAACGTCGAGACGGTAGCCGAATAACTACTGTATACCAACCTCATGATCGCTCAATAATCCAAAACGTAATGATTATTTATGACGAGGTTAAACAAAAGTCGGTTTCTGGAAATATGCGTGGATATTCTTTTGCTTGACCCAGAATAGACCATAAAATACAAGTCCTCTTTTTGAAAGCGCTGTTTTCTTAACGTTCAACCGAAGACCAATTTTTCTGCATTCGCTGTTCAAATCGACTGTTCTAGCCGGCTAATGGTTTACGATTTAGGAATAATGTAACCAACGAACAGAAGATGAGGCAAATTTCGGCCATCCACTCTCACTCGCTGTCTGGTTCTAGATTTTGGGTAACGTTCCTAAGAGCAACTGTAAATAATTTTGTGAAATGACATAACCTTGTCGAAATCCTTTTATTATACCTATGGTAATGTCGTTGACGACAAAAAATCTGCGTGTCCAAGCTTTCATTGCAACAATCGTTCCGTTAAAGACCTTGAAGTCGTCATCAGTGAGATGTAGTGACATCTTGTACTCCTACGACTCTTCAATGAGTTTCATTACCGTATGGATAAGATTCAACGAAACCAATGATCTATTGATTGATAACTCAGTGACTGTGCTTTTGTTTAATGCTATATCACTCTCACTGAGAATGAATGATTTGAAGGACTTATATGCTACAGACAGTAGACACAAAGGACGAGGTGAATCTCTCGCTTTTTGATCTGCAACACGGTTCTCCACTTTTCTTCCACCCAAGTAATATGTATCTTGTAATTAGGTTAGTAGGTAATTGGTAGCGTGAACGGCCGACGCTGTTTCGAACTCGCAGCAAATTCTTCACATATATGGGTTTTATATAATACACCATCGTTGAATTCATCATTGTCGTTTCTCTTATTATTTCCCAACAAGGATTCGTAAACACAAACGTAAGATGTTTCTGGAAGTAAAGTGACTCCGTATCAGCGGCTAACCATGTTAGGTTCAATTTTCTTCTAGTTTCTAGTGAAGAAGATTTATCGACGACTTTCGACACATGCTGAGAACTTGCAAACTTCCGCCCATCGTAGCCCTAACACGAAGCTGTTGAATGAGCCGAACCTAATCAACATTGAAATGGTCGGTAACGGACCTTTCCCGAAAAGCCGGAACTAGGTTGAAAATTTCAAACTTATGACGAGTTTGGCCATTATAATCGTTTACACGGCAATATTTCCTCCTCGATGAGGCAGAACGTTCAAAGGTGTGCGAAGATGTCGTAGAAGGTAAACTCTTCGAGGCAGAACTGGCCAAAAGTGCTTCAGTCTTATCTTATTTGTAGGTCGATATGTTCGCACCGCAAGCGAAGATGACTATCAAAGCCGGTATTGGTCGACATTTTTCAGCTATAAACGTCCGATTCGGGTCATTAGCTGTTCAAAGGAACCAATGTTTATGGTTAAGCTCCTATTGACGCAGACATAAACACCTCCGGTCTCCCTGCTATCGCCTGTTCCGAGGAACGTTTTTCTTCAATGTCATAAACGGCGTTTAATTGGTGGTTTCTTCTCGTTCCCACCAGTCAGCTTTATTGACTTTCTTAGCTTTCGTTGCATGTCTGCGTCCTTAATAGAACTTCCCGATGTTAGTGTGCCTACGTCGTAAGTGCAGATATTCAAAACAGTGACTCAAGATTTTATTAGCTCGAAATAGTTCTGAGATCTAATCAGATTCACTGGACTAGTCTTACCCAATGCGACCATTTGCTTATCCTTCGCTGTAGCAGAGAAGAGAACTTTTATTTTCATAG